CTTCTAGTGCGTTGGGTACATAGAATAAAGGGGGCAGATTTCCGGGTGTTGTAGAAAAGATTCAGGGCATTATGTACAGACAAGGATATGGAAGGATATGAGTAAAGTGGAGGTAAACCTAAGCGTTGGGTAACAATGAAAGAGATAGCATCATTGGAGGCATCAATTGAGTCGGTCTCCGCGTGTATGGGGGGTGGGACAAAGGAGCTATCTAAGGCAGGTTTAGCTGGGCTGGGGGATCTACAGTGAAATAGTACAATTAGAAATAACCGAAACAACAATAAGCTAACCATGTTTGGGCTGAGGCTAAACATAAACAGGATGTAGTACCGTAAAAAGGAACAGTCCAGCAGACATCAGCTGTGTAGCTGAGTTATCAAAGGTCTGGTGAACAGCAATAGGATAGTTCGGAGGCTGCTAAAGCAATAGCGAGTAAGAGGCCACGGCTAGCGTGTGCTAGCGGGCCGGGGCTAGCAGATGGAATCTTCGTGGTCGACGTCGTAACCACATCAGACGATTTCGTCGGCAGACCAGTCGTGTAGGATCGGCGGGGCTCCGTGTCAACACTAGGTGGTCCCGTCCGGTTGACAGAGAGATAGATAGCCGGGAGATGGGCCTAGCTCAGGATGATTAGCCAGACCACAGCGTCCATTTTGTTGCAGCTAGCTGGTAGCGATGAAACCGGAGTTGAAGGTCCAGTGATTCAGTGATTCCGGCAGAAAAACTGATATGTTCTGGGTCGATAACGCGCTGTGCAGACTGGCCAAATATCCGGTGATTAATGTCCAGTGATTAAATTAATCCCGCAGAAAAAAAATCCAATGTTCTGGGTGAAATACCGCTAACTGTGGCTAATAGCAAGTAGCTAGTTAGCTGGCTAGCTAGTTTCAACTGGAGATTCTAGATAAAAGGTAAGTCAATAATAGAATCCGTTCCACATTGAGTGAGGCGGGTTGCAGGAAAGTATATTTTGTAGAAGGATGAAAAGTCTGATAGGGAAATATGTACGAAAAATAAAAAAAAACAGGGTATTTACAGGCTATTTACAGACACACGACAAAAACAGAACTGCACTACTACGCCATCTTGGAACTTTTGGAATCTTGGAATCATTTTAAGTTTCAGACGGGAAGAGAAGTGAGGGCATGGCAGGCTGGTGAGGTAGAGGATAGTTTGGTTATTTACCTGTGTGTGTATAAAGTTCATAGGATGTGTCAGGGAAACTGGTTCCAGCTGGAGAAAGAAGACAGACAGGTGGCATTAGCAGCTCCGTCTCTCCTCCCCCTGTAATGTGTCAAAGTATGCCCAAACTGCATGCCAGTGATTTCTGTGGAAGTGCCTTGTGGAGCTTGAACAAAGGCAGAGCTATGGTGTAGTGGTGTGTTCCAATGCTTTTGGGTGGCTGTTGAGTCAGTGTGTTATTGATACATATAATTTTTACATACTTCTTCCACATACACTGAGCTCCAGCCTCCTTTTCACACACGCATGCACGCACACACACTGAGCAGAATTTTTTTTTCTAAGCAGCTGATTTCCTTGGATTTGAAATTTGGAAACAGTCCATAGACAGATGAACTATTTCACACAGTATAATGAGTAATTGGCAAAGCCTTTGTAACATTAATTTGCACTTCTATTTGAGTCCCAAAGAAAGGTCAAGCATCCATTGTGCTGGCCTAGGACAGCCCTTCAGAGTCTGGGGTTGACTTCACTCAAATAAATCAGTCCACTCTTTCAGTGTTCACACTTTGTGACCATTCAAGTTCGTTTGAGGTGGTATCAGGTATACTCGCTTTGTAAAACAATAATTTCCCTCAGTCCATACATCTTTAGTGTCCGGTTCAAACTTTTGAAGAGGAACTGAGTGAACTCTGGCAGCTCTAAAGTCCTTTATGACGTGGTTCTTGGACAGATGGTAAGTGCTCTGATTGATTGCATACAGATGCCCTGAAAACCCTCCCACCTCAGCCCAGTGTATGGATTGGCTGTGGAGCATTGAGGTTCCCTCACTTGGAAGAGAACATTTAAGTTTAATAGGGGGTTCAAGGGTGGGTTGAGGGGAGTAAGAAAGAGTCTCAGTACATACTGTTATTTTGAAATACCAGGCCTACAAAATCACCCCAAATCTGTGAGACTGGTGCATATGATAAAAGGCTCTGGATGAGAGCCACTAATTATCAATGATGTATTATTGTATATCAGATTTTTATCAGGGATGTGCTGGCCCTGGCCCATAATTAGTGGCTATGATCCATCTCAGATTAGTCACAACACACTGTGAGCATTACATTGATGGTTCTGCAATGAAGGAGCTTACAAAACTGAGATTGGCATGAGAGAAACAAATGTGGACAACAACCAATGAGAAAGGATATGTGAAATTATCTATTGGTCTGCCACTGCCACATAATGTGCATTATTCACAATTTGGAGCTACAGGTATTTCTTGAATATCATTGATGATATTCAGTTATGGTCCCATCAAGGAAAACGAAATTCATTCATCCAGACCCTCTTACACATTCCAGTCTAGGACTAAGAGTAGTGAGAGTTCTTCACTCACTGACCTATTGAAAAAAAAGTAAGAGAATTTGGGGAATCCAGACAAGCCCCTCAGCCTGATTGGCTAGACTCTCACCTATTTTATATTCTGTGACCAATAACATGTGAGTGTGCTTAAATGTAAGCGGGATACTAGGTAATATGTCAATTAATTATCTGTGTTGAAGAGATGACAGATGATGTGTCATTGTTATGTTCGTCACGTGTGAAAGAAATAATTAAGCATGCGGCTGTTTACGAACATAAATACTGTACATGCCCATCTTATTAAAAAACAATATCACAGATTCTATAATTTTTCTAAATTGAAAAAAAGTCTATAGCCTATTTTAAACCAAGTGTAAGTCTATTTCAAGAGCTCAGTGAACAGCAGTTCGATCTGTGTTTGAAAGAAATAATATTATAATGGTTTTAATAATTTGATGTTTCATAGCATATTGTTTCTGGAATACTAAATGTGGATCTTGTAGGCCTATTATTATCTTTTAGTGAGACAAATTAAATTATATGAAATTCACTGAATGTAAAAGTAGATAAAAAACATGGTCTCATACAGGCTGAAATTGACTGACTTCTATCCTACTCTGCTTAGTAACCTGTGGAGAGCATGTCTGAAATGGCCCAAGTGCATAATGAACAACATCACATGTTTAGAATGAAGACCTTCACTAGTAATATGAACAACTTCACAAGTTTAGTAATAACTTCTGGTCAGCATTTTTGAAAGTGCAGATACAGTAAACAACTTGCCTGACTACTCAAACAGAATTATTCCGCTGCTGTATCTTTCACTACATACTTCAGTCTGAGACGGCCATATTTAAAGTTGTTTGTGGTGATGTCAAAATGAGCGGTGTTGTACAAAACAAAGTAATCAGCGTTTGGATCATCTCTAACCAATCAGAGTATCAAAGCTAATTAATACTTTTTTTAAACGCAGCATTACCCACGCGTTTTCTGGCTCTGGCCCAACCTATCGGTTTCTCTGACCAATCAGACTGTCTAGAATAGATTTCCATTCTAGAAATCATCTGGGAAGTACTCAGATCCAGACTCAACGAGGGAGCTCTTTTACGCTGGCTTGGGTTGAACCGGGTAATGGCCATCATGTCATCGGCAAAAGCAGGGAGGGGAAGAGCGCCTTTCTCAAATGAACAGTAATCTGCATGTTGTCAACAAGGCAGCATCATGCATCATCCAGAAACATACATCTCTTCTCCATAAAATAAATGTTTGAATTTTCAAAATAGTATCATTGGGAAGGCAGATTTTTTTAGATATATATATTTTATCAAAAGCAATCACTTTTGTATGGGAAAACACAGAATCCTACTAATTACTACATTTTTGTGTTGAGCCGAGTTCGCCGTTGGACAGAGCGGGGCACCTGGCTCACGCCCGAGAGACAGCCCGGTTCCAAATCGAATGAAATCAACTTCCAGCTTCTGCAAAACACGCCTACACGGGGTTAATAGAACCGGAGAAGAAACTAACGTAAGTGGGCGTGGCGTAGCGTTTGGCCGGAGCAAGGAGTTTGAGTAGCCAGGCAAGTGAATAACAGCCCAGTAAATCCGACCAGAACTTGTTATCCTACCGTAAACACTTGATTTGAGATAAACATAGCATTATGATGTGACCCACTACGCAACTTTACGGCAGTCCTGAGCTGCAGCGCGCAAGATGTGACTATAAATTAAGGAGCCCTTTGGCAAATGTTCACCACCCTCAAACAGCAAGGACAAAACACAAACAGGAGTAACAAATTAAGGACAATAAAATAAAATAAATTGCTGTCATATATTGGATTACAATTTTCCTACAAAATGTCAACAGGTAAATATATAGATTAACTGCATTCATATATGAAAGAAGAAGACCATTAACACTTTTAGCATACACTTGAGTTTTATATCCGACACTTAAAGCTGTTTTTTTTTGACAATTTGTTTTACAAGTCACCTATGTCATCTTGTTCAGTTAAAATTGGTTTCAATTTAAAAAGAAGTAGCAACAGTAGGTCTACTTGATGGTAATACCAGGAGAAATGGTACCTATGGTAAGACTAGCAGAAACTGTTGGAGTAACCAATAGTAATGAGTGGTATTATTTTCAGCAAAGGTGGAAAAAATACTAAATTGTCATACTTGAGTAAAAGTAAATGCTATACATCAAAATCCTTATATTAAGCAGAAGGAATCTTAACCATACAAGTATATGTGCAAATTCATATGCAATGTATTGGAATGTTGAAATACAAGCTGTCACCTGTCCTGTCTTTATGAAAAGAGCTCTGTGTGATGTGATAGTAGATTATCAAATCATTTTCTCTGTCCTGACCCCTCAGGTAAAGACAGAGTTGCTTAGCAGATTGATCCTCGTCGTTCTACTGTTGAGTTGATTGTGTTGAACTCAAGCTACCCATCTCCGGCACAGCTATGGTTGGAATGAAACCCACAGATCTGGCGCCAACAATGGCTGTCAAGTTTGTTGGTGCAGGCACAGCAGGCTGCATCGCTGACCTTGTGACCTTCCCCTTGGCTACGGCCAAAGTCAGACTACAGGTAAGGGGAGAGGATGGATGAGAGGCTAGGTGGCCTTGGTTAAAACTGATCATTAGATCTGCACAAATCAATTCAAATGTAGATTGAATATGAGTAAGCGCAATTCGTGGTGAACATCCCCCAGTCAGGTGTCAGCATCTACTTTGTATTCCAGATTCAAGGGGAGGCTCAGTTGGGGCATGGGGCCCAGGCTGTGAGGTATCAGTAATGTAAATGTATCGGGCGTGTTTGGTACCATCACCACCATGGTGTGTATGGAAGGGGCCCGTAGCCTCTACAACGGGCTGGGGGCTGGGCTTCATAGGCAGATGAGCTTCGCATCCGTCTGTATCGGCCTCTACGACTCCATGAAGCAGTTCTACACTCGTGGCTCTCATTTATAACCTTATAACCTCACTTGTGTTGACCTCTAACATACACTTCATTTATTGGGGACCCATAACTGACTGTGCACACCTCTCTTCAGGCGCTAGAATCATTACTCGGCTCATGGCAGGCTGCACCACTGGAGCAATGGCTGTGATGTTTGCTCAGCCCACAGACGTGGTCAAGGTGCGTTTCCAGGCTCAAGTATGTCTGGCTGACGGGGTAAAGAGATACAACGGCACCATGGATGCCTACCGGACCATCACCCGAGATGAAGGGGTGCGGGTCCTTTGGAAAGGTGAGTAGCAATCTCAGTCAGCAAGCACAGAAGCAAGAGGAGTGGTGACAAAACAAGAACTGGTCTGGCAGCAAATGGCCTGTGAAATGATGGCCACTTTTCAATAGAAGAGCGGAGCCATAGACCTTTCCTCTTATTCTCCCTAATTATTTTCCTTTGTGTAAAGAAATGTTTACAGTTCTACACTTATGATTATGTTTTGCGCTTATGATGAAGCAGTTTATATTTCTATGTATTTGTTTACATGTGGCGTTTTTTTCATTTAGATGTGAAAGCTTGGTTTGTCGCTGGTCGAGACCTCATAATCAGGTTATGAATGATATTGCAATGCAAATGGAATAGATTCAGTTTACCTAAAATATAGATATAAATAAAGCTGCCCTTTTTTCCCAATTGGGTTGTTTTTTTCTGTCAAACTCAATTCTAAATGGTAGGTTGGTGCTATACTTCTCTAACTCACAACTCCTTATCTAATGGGATTAATCCTCTCTCTGGAAAATTCAATTTTGACCACTAAAGAAAAGCAACCTGGGAGTGGCAGTGGGGCAGAGTTTAATCGATACACACCTGCTTTCTTTTACAAAATGGAGCATGTTTGCAATCTATATCCTGTCTTTTAGAGTGGCATATGCATACAAAAGTGTCCTATGTGAGCTTGCAAACTGCAGACCCCTATTGACTTGGTGACCCAAATAATTTCTTCCAATAATATTCGAGAGACTGGTAAGAGGCAAGTAAAGCCAGGAACAGAGTCAAGTGCTTAAAGTTCTATAGCACTGTTGTTTTTTAAATATAATTTCATGTTTTAAAGTAATACTTATTTATCCTCTCAGGGACCTTGATCATTTCAGCCGTGCGACGTTGTGAGTGTGTCACATTTTCCTTATTATCCCGAGGCAGCTTGTCTGTTGAGGAAGCTGATTGATTCCCAGTGAAGGTCCTTCTCAGCCCGGGACCCCTGTGGCTGCTGATAAAGCCAGAGGCTTAATGATTAACCATGTGTGGAGGTGGTGGTGGTCAGTGCTCCAATCATGTGACTAGACTTAAGGGTACATTAAGTTGAAAGTTAGTACATCCACACATATTTGCTACAGCTTGATCAGATTCATAAATTGAATTACTTTCATAGCATGCCCGTCTTGTCCAACTTCAAAACAACCAAGACATCCCACTGGGCACAGGCATCAGTTCAACTTCTAGTTTGAATTTACATTTGGTTGAGTTGTCAACTAATGTGAAATAAAATACAAATGTCACCATGTCATTGGATTTATGTAAAAAATACGAAATGTCCTTATGTCGATTACTTTTTTCATATCGAATCAGTTTTCCACATTGATTCAACGTCATCACATAGATTTTTTTGGGGTTGAAATGAAGTGGAAACAATGTTGATTCAACCAGTTTGTGCCCAGTGGGATGTTAAAATAACATACACTACAGTTCAAAAGTTTGGGGTCACTTAGAAATGTCCTTGTTTTCGAAAGAAAAGCAATTTTTTTGTCCATTAAAATAACATAAAATTGATCAGAAATACAGTGTAGACATTGTTCATGTTGGAAACGGCTATTGTAGCTGGACACGGCTGATTTTGAATGGAATATCTACATAGGCGTAAGAGGCCCATTATCAGCAACCATCAGTCCTGTGTTCCAATGGCACGTTGTGTTTGCTAATCCAAGTTTATCATTTTAAAAGGCTAATTGATCATTAGAAAACCCTTTTGCAATTTATGTTAGCACAGCTGAAAACTGTTGTGCTGATTAAAGACGCAATAAAACTGGCCTTCTTGAGACTAGTTGAGTATCTGGAGCATCAGCAATTGTGGGTTCTATTACAGAATCAAAATGGCCGGAAACAAATAACTTTCTTCTGAAACTCGTCAGTCTATTCTTGTTCTGAGAAATGAAGGCTATTCCATGCGAGAAATTGCCAAGAAACTGAAGATCTCGTACAACGCTGTGTACTACTCCCTTCACAGAACAGCACAAACTGGCTCTAACCAGAATAGAAAGAGGAGTGGGAGGCCCCGGTGCACAACTGAGCAAGAGGACAAATACATTAGAGTGTCTAGTTTGAGAAACAGACGCCTCACAGGTCCTCAACTGGCAGCTTCATTAAATAGTACCCGCAAAACACCAGTCTCAACGTCAACAGTGAAGAGGCGACTCCGGGATGCTGACCTTCTAGGCAGAGTTGCAAAAAAAAAGCCATATCTCAGACTGGCCAATAAAAAGAAAAGATTAAGATGGGCAATCCTGAGTTCTAGACTTGAGTTTGGGAATAAAACAATGAACAATCCTGACAATAAAGTGGCATGTGGAATTGTGTTGTTATAGATGGTATATATCTGCACCTTTAGAGACTACTGCCCTATGTACTGTACATAGTCATTGAACACTGGCCACTTACCCACTTCATATGTATATATCAGTATTCTAGTCAAGGCTCACCCTTCAGAAAGTATTCACACCCCTTGACTTGGTCCACATTTTGTTGTGTTACAGCCTGAATTTAAAATTGATTAAATTGAGATGTTTTGTCACTGGCCTACACACAATACCCCTCATGTCAGTGGGATTACGTTTTTACGAATTAAAAATGAAAAGTTGAAATGTCATGAGTCAATAAGTATTCAACCCCTTTGTTATGGCAAGCCTAAATAAGTTCAGGAGTAAATATCTGCTTAACAAGTCACATAATAAGTTGCATGGACTCACTCTGTGTACAATAATAGTGTTTAACATAATTTGTTTTATGACTACCTCATCTTTGTACCCCAGACATACAATTATCTGTAAGGTTCCTCACTTGAGCAGTGAATTTCAAACACAGATTCAACCACAAAGACCAGGGAGGTTTTTCAATGCCTCGCAAAGAAGGGCACCTATTGGTAGATGGGTAAAAATAAAAAAGCAGACATTGAATATCCCTTTGAGCATGGTGAAGTTATTAATTACACTTTGGATGGTGTATCAATACACCCTGTCACTACAAAGATACAAGCCTCCTTCCTAACTCAGTTGCCAGAGAGGAAGGAAACCACTCAGGGATTTCACCATTATTGGACTAAAGTAATACTGCAAAAAAAGTGGCAAAGCAATTCACTTTTTGTCCTCAATACAAAGGGTTATGTTTGGGGCAAATCCAATACAACACATCACTGAGTACCACTCTTCATGTTTTCAAGCATAGTGGTGGCTGCATCATGTTATGGGTATGCTTGTAATCGTTAAGGACTGGGGAGTTTTTCAGGATAAAAAATTAACTGAATGGAGTTAAGCACAGGCAAAATCCTAGAGGAAAACCTGGTTCAGTCTGCTTTCCACCAGACACTGGGAGATGAATTCACCTTTCAGCAGGACAATAACCTAAAACACAAGGCCAAATCTACACTGAGTTGCTTACCAAGAAGACAGTGAATGTTCCTAAATGGCCAAGATAGTTTTGACTTAAATCTGCTTAAAAATCTATGGCAAGACTTGAAAATGGTTGTCTAGCAATGATCAACAAACAATTTGACAGAGCTTGAAAATTTTGAAAAGAATAATGGGGAAATATTGTACAATCCATGTGTGCAAAGCTCTTAGAGACTTACTCAGAAAGACTCACAGCTGTAATCGCTGCAAAAGGTGATTCTAACATGTATTGACTCAGGGGTGTGAATACTTATGTAAATTATATATTTCTGTATTTCATTTTCAATATATTTGCAAAAATGTCTAAAAACATTGTTTTCACTTTGTCATTATGGGGTATTGTGTGTAGATGGATGAGAGAAAAAATGTATTAAATTGTTTTTATTTCCTCATCAATCTACATATACCCCATAATGACAAAAGGTTTTTAGATTTTTTTGCAATTGTATTACAAATATTCAGACCCTGTACTCAGTACTTTGTTGAAGCACCTTTGGCAGCGATTACAGCCTAGAGTCTTCTTGGGTATGACACTACAAGCTTGGCACACCTGTATTTGGGGAGTTTTTCCCCATTCTTCTCTGCAGATCCTCTCAAGCTCTGTCAGGTTGGATGGGCAGCGTCGCTGCACAGCTATTTTCAGGTCTCTCCAGAGATGTTCGATCAGGTTCAAGTCCGGGTTCTGGCTGGGCCACTCAAGGACATTCAGAGACTTTTCCCAAAGCCACTCCTGCGTTGTCTTAGTTGTGTGCTTAGGGTCGCTGTCCTGTTGGAAGGTGAACCTTTGCCCCAGTCTGAGGTCCTGAGCGCTCTGGAGCAGGTTTTCATCAAGGATCTCTCTGTACTTTGCACCGTTCATCTTTCCCTTGACTAGTCTCCCAGTCCCTGCCGCTGAAAAACATCCCCACAGCATGATGCTGCCACCAACATGCTTTACCGTAGGGATGGTGCCAGGTTTCCTCCAGATGTGACGCTTGGTATTCAGGGCAAAGAGTTCAATCTTGGTTTCATCAGACCAGAGAATCTTGTTTCTGATGGTCTGAGAGTCCTTTTAGGTGCATTTTGGCAAACTCCAAGCAGGCTGTTATGTGCCCTTTTCTGAGGAGAGGCTTCCGCTGGCCACTCTACCATAAAGGCGTGATTGGTGGAGTGCTGCAGAGATGGTTGTCCTTCTGGAAGGTTCTCCCATCTCCACAGAGGAACTCTGGAGCTCTGTCAGAGTGACCATTGAGTTCTTGGTCACCTCCCTGACCAAGGCCCTTCTCCCCCATTGCTCAATTTGGCTGGGCGGCCAGCTCTAGGAAGAGTCTTGGTGGTTCCAAGCTTCTTCCATTTAAGAATGATGGAGGCCACTGTGTTCTTGGGGACCTTCAATGCTGCAGAAATTTATTGGCACCCTTCCCCAGATCTGTGCCTCGACACAATCCTGTCTCTGAGCTCTACGTACAATTCCTTCGACCTCATGGCTTGGTTTTTGCTCTGACATGCACTGTCAACTGTGGGACCTTATATAGACAGGCGTGTGCCTTTCCAAATCATGTCCAATCAATTGAATTTACCACAGCTGCACTCCAATCAAG